ACCATAGCCCCCATCCGCTTCTATAAACCAAGAATCATCCGAGAAGCCATAGAAATAGAAAAAAGGCCAAATTGTCTTAATAAAAGAGATGACGCCATACGGTTACCTTCTACATGGAGACCTCTCATAAAGAAAATATCGCCCCCTCCATCCTCGAATCAAAATTCCACAGTCGGAAATGTTCGCGCCAACCCCAGCACCAATTCTCGCGCCAACCCCCACCCCAACCCCCACCTAGGCCACGTCATCTTCGACGGTATAAATGAACCGTCCCATGTTCCCAACCGTAGTAGTGACAGTGCCGTGAATAGTGATCAGTGTAGTAGTGTCTGGGGCTCGGGAGACTGAGACCTCGGAAGCCCTGAGGAAGGCATCAGAGAGGATGCCGAAAGCTTGGCAAAATGGACAACGACGCGGTTCAACCCGGAAGACTGGTGAGTTTGATATTAATTTAGTAATAATATTAATCTTAGCTCTAGTTTTTATTGTACTAACCGCGGAAATCTTTCCGAACATTATATATATATATATATATAATATATATATATATATATATATATATAATATATATATATATATATATATATATATATATATATATAATATATATATAAGAAAAAAGAAGTACTTGTGACTCGTTTGGAAAAAATATAACACTGTTTTTGATGGGTTGGAGTCAATAAAAGGGGCTATTTGTTGACTATTTTTTACTCGAGCTTTCAATTGTGATTACAATTTTTATCAAGAGCTTCTAAAAAATACAAAATGTCTTACAAAGTTGAACTAGAAATAAAAAATTTTTTGTTAACTCACCAAATAAAATTAGTTTTTTATATAAAACTACTGCTTACATAATAAATACAAAAAATATTAATAAAAAAATGTCTTATTCTAACAAATGTTTCTCTGAAAAATTTAGATGAGGTTTCTTAAGAAAAAAAATTGAAATTATAAACAAATATAGAATAGCTACAACCAGCCTAAAACGTCATAAATACTAACTTAAAAATTTTTATTTTTGACATATTGTCAAAAATAAAATTTTGTTTAAAAAATTCTTCTTTGTTTAGTAACAAAAAAGAAGAAGATTTATTCACCATTGATATTCCATGTATTTGTTACATTTTTCCGGGCATCTATCAATGGTGAATAAATCTTCTTCTTTTTTGTTACTAAACAAAGAAGAATTTTTTTAAACAAAATTTTATTTTTGACAATATGTCAAAAATAAAAATTTCAATTTAATTAAAAGTTAGTATTTATGACGTTTTAGGCTGGTTGTAGCTATTCTATATTTGTTTATAATTTCAATTTTTTTTCTTAAGAAACCTCATCTAAATTTTTCAGAGAAACATTTGTTAGAATAAGACATTTTTTTATTAATATTTTTTGTATTTATTATGTAAGCAGTAGTTTTATATAAAAAACTAATTTTATTTGGTGAGTTAACAAAAAATTTTTTATTTCTAGTTCAACTTTGTAAGACATTTTGTATTTTTTAGAAGCTCTTGATAAAAATTGTAATCACAATTGAAAGCTCGAGTAAAAAATAGTCAACAAATAGCCCCTTTTATTGACTCCAACCCATCAAAAACAGTGTTATATATATATATATATATATATATATATATATATATATATATATATATATATACATATATATAAGGATCACTCAGACGAGTGGTGGGTTTCTTATATCGGTCTCTAGGTGGAGAAATAAAAGACAAAGTTGATAGGCTACTTTATCTATTTTGAAGACGTTTCGCTTTCGAGTTTTGAAAGCATCATCAGTTCATCTAAAAAGTTTTACAATATGAGAACCACACAATCATGGAAACGATGTTAATTGTTACCTTAAAAAGACATGTAGCAGTCAATGTTATTAACAATAATGTGAATGAAACTAAGTAAATGGACATAATACGCTGATTTTGTATAAACAGTTAAGTAACTAACAACATATATGAACTTATAAAAATTATATCATATTAGGTGTACTATTGTGAGGGTTACTAATCCCTAAATCCCTAAATAAGGTTGCCAGTGTCGGAGTGATGGAGGTTAACAGGTACTAATGAATTTGCAAGAAATGTAAAATGTTTATTTTATTGGTTATATATAACCAATAAAAGTTTAATAAGTACCTACCTATTTGCAAAATAAAGTTTAATTCTTTAGATAAAATAAAACGTTTTAATTTTATCTGAAATGAGTGCATTACACGAAGTAAGGGTTTCAACAATCAAACATGTAATTCTTTAATTCCAGGAAGCTACGACAGTAATTGACTAGATAATTACCTTTTAAACTTATTCCACAGAAAATGTGATAATGGGTTTTTCCATTTTGTAGGAAGGTCCAAGTGGCGTATTCAAAATTCTTAACAGTTCACTAAAAGTAGGTACTTCAGTTGCAAGGTGCAGTTTATTGTGTATACTAGTGTTATGGAAAATTTGGAAGTGCCGTGTAAACGCCGAAAAATTGGTCCTTTAACAGTTAATGAAAAAACATTAATATTTAATTGTTTTAAATCATTTATAGACAAACGTATATGTGAAAGTGTTGATGAGACGGTTGAGTTGGTTAGCAGTACACTTGGTGTTGGGAAATCTACGATTTACAGAGTTATTAAAGAAGAGAAATGTGGTAGTTTTCAAATGCCACGTAATGCTCCAGGGAAACCAAAATTTCAAATAGAATATCATTTTAAAGAAGGACTTCGACGGAAAGTGCATGAATTCTTCTTTAGACAAGAATTTCCAACATTTTATAAAGTTCTTGTCTCAGTTCGAGATGATAAGAATTACCCAGAAATGAGTCGAAGTACGTTATGGAAACTTTTAAAAGAAATAGGCTTCCGCTGGAAAAAGAATCCCAGAAAGTCTATTTTATTAGAAAGAAGCGATATTGTCATACGGAGAAGACATTTTCTAAGAACCATAAAGGAAATGAGAAACCAAAAAAGAAAAATATTTTATCTTGATGAAACATGGATCAACGAGGGTCATACACCAAATAAATTTTGGCAGGATGAAACTGTTACAAGTCAAAGGCACGCTTTTGTTAATAACTTATCTACTGGTTTAAACCCACCATCAGGAAAGGGACGCAGGCTGATAATAGTACACATTGGCAGTTCAGACGGTTTTGTTGAAGGTGGTTTATTAACTTTTGAATCAACTCGTACCAGTGACTACCATGAAGACATGAACGCTGATGTCTTTCAAGAATGGTTCGAACAAATGATAGATCTTCTTCCTAAGAACTATGTAATAGTAATGGATAATGCAAGTTATCACTCCAGACTTATAGAAGGACTGCCCACAACCAAGTCGTTAAAAAAAGACTTGCAGAATTGGCTGAGTTCAAAAAATATTACGTACCATCCCGGATCTATAAGAAAGGAACTTTATTCGTTGTGTGCCCTCCATAAAGAAAAATTTAAAAAATACGAAATTGATGAAATTGCCAAAAATCGTAGAATGACAGTACTTAGATCCCCACCATATCATTGTGAATTAAACCCGATTGAACTGGTATGGGCACAGCTAAAGAGTGAAGTTTCAAGAAAAAATACCACTTTTAAAATTCATGATGTTAAACAGTTGTTTTTGGAGGCCGTAAATAATGTAAAACCTGAAAACTGGGAAAAGGCAGTAAATCACACTATTAAAGAAGAGGAAAAAATGTGGAAGCTGGACAATATTACTGATAAAATGATCGAGCCAGTTATTATAAATCTTGGTTCTGAAAGTTCATCTTCTGAATCTGATTTGGATTTGTAACAAGTAGCTGTAAGTTTTATATTAATATTTTTATTCATCTATTTGACATACCTTAGACGGTTTTAAAAACTCTTTTTCTCTTTTGTAATTTTTAAAAATTAAAAAAAATGTGAACTTTTTAAAACCCTTTTTAATGTAGGCCAGTCAGTTCTAATATAGTGTGTGATAAAAGAGATCACTTTTGTTTACATACACATAACACTTTATAACACTGAAATAATTCATTTATTTTTTACAATTATTCAAAGTACTTTTTCAATTAATCTTGAGCACGCCCATGGAGTGGTCGGAGGTACACGTTAAAATTATGCTAATTACTCTCTCGTTCATAAAAATAAACTATAATAAGAAAAATCGAATGAGCTGAAAAATTATATTTTTCTGACAAAATTAATTTACTGCTTCAATTATTCCAACCCTCAATTATCTTTCATAAACCTCCAAAAGCAAAAGTCCATGGGATTAAGACGTAGACTTATGGGTGGCCAAGAAATAGGTGCGTCACGACCCCTTCCAATCCACCGACCAGGATACTGCCTGAAAAGGTATTCCCGGACTTCATTACTGTAATACTGTGAAGCGCCATCTTGTATTTTGCCTTATTGCAATATTCACTTCTTCCAAATACTCTTGTAAATCGTTTGCCAAGAACTGCAAATAAGTATCTTCATTTAAATTGTTGGGAAGAAATACTGGGCCTCTTAGATTGTTATCCACAATTCCTGCCCAAACATTAACTTTGAAAGTCCTTTGGTAATGAGTCGTTTTTTTTTGAGTGAGGATTTTCGTCGGCCGTAATGTGCTCGTTATGATGGTTTGTTATTCCATTTCTACTGAAGGTAGCCTCATTTATATATAGCCTCATTTTGCCTGTCAAATCATCTGCCTCTGTTCGTTCTTGTTTATTTCTTATCCCAGTTTTAGACATCGTTTTCAGTCGGCCTTTTCTTTATTTATCTCCTATTGAGCTAATTATTATTTTTGGTAACCTACCATCTTCATTTTTTTGGATTTATCCCAATCACCGTAATATTTAAGCGTTTATTTCGGCCATTTATGTTAGTTTCTTGATATATATACTATGAATATATTGGGTATTGTAGTCAGGCCTTTAAATAAAACTCTTTAAGCTTTGTTGAGCTTTCGAGTTTATTTAACTCTTTTTCAAAACATACCTTGTGAGGATTGTATTATAAAAATTAGCAAAATTATCTAACATTTGACATTATTTATTTGATTTTCTTATGATCTTTTCACATTATTTTCTTTGTTATTGCTTAAATGTAGCGGTAATATTACTAATCATTTGGGATATGTGAGGGGGAATGGTAGTAGCATTACAATTTCTGAACTCCCATCTAAGCGATAACTGTTTCCAGACTCTATCTGCACTAAGACCTCTCGCATTTTGTAGAAGACTTAACCAATTTGGATGCCAGTTTCCAGATAAGAGCTAAAACAAAACTGTTATTATTGTAAATGTATGTAGAAAAATAAAGAGTTATAGTTTATAAATTTATTTTAGGTTTTTATACTTCTTGTGGTTTCCACCAATCTCTTTTTGTTTTAAAAACGCATTCAATTTTTGAAATAATTTATTAAGTATATTTCTTTGAAGAGTGCTGATGATTTTATTTCTTGACCTTAGAAACGTTTTATTGCTACTGCTATTGCTAGTCTAACCTACTTTCGACTTATTTGCTACTTTCGCATCTCGTATAATGACTGATTTTTCTGAAACGCTTGGTTACGGAACGTCTTACACCTACTGTATAAAAAAACATACCAATCAATAATATACAAACCATCGAAAACATCTACCTCCATAATCGAATACAGGCAAAGATAAATGGTAAACTAACACAGTGTATACCAGTATAAAGCGGAGTCAGACAGGGTGACTCGTTAAGCCCACATCTCTTTAATTTAATAATAAACGAAATAATACAAGCAGTAAGTAAAGGTCATGGCTACAGAATGAGGATCAAAGAAATCCAAATATTATGTGATGCAGACGACGCCGCATTAATCGCCGAGAGAGAAGACGAGCTCCAAAGATTAACACATATCTTCAATACAACAGCTAAGAAATACAATATGATAATATCAGTAGAAAAAAAACCAAATGTATGACAACATCTAAATATTCACTACGGTGTAAAATCGAAATTAATGGGAAAATAATAAAGCAGGAAGCAAGGTTTAGATATCTAGAAATAGATATAACTAGTTACGGAGATGTTGAAGAAGAAGAACGACAACAAAGCTTAAAAGCAAGTAAAGCGGCAAGTTCTCTTAATGACACAATCTGAAAGCATAAACACCTAAGACAAGACACAAAAACAAGAATCTATAAAGCAGCAGTTATACCTATATTAAAACACACGGCGGAGACAAGACCTGACACATCTCAAACGAGACGACTGCTAGTAACAACAGAGATGAAAATACTCCGACGAATATCAGGGAGAAGTCTGTTGGATAGGTAGACAAGCGAAAACACAAGAAGAGCATGCAATATAGAAGACATAAATGGATGGGTGACAAAACGAAAACAGGAGTGGCACGAACACATCATTAGAATGGCAGGAGATAGAATAGTACGAATAGCACGAGATAAGTTACCAAATGGACGAAAAAGTATTGACAGACCAAGAAAAAGATGGTGCGACAATTTAAACAATTTAGGAGGCTAATATTGAAGAAGAAACAAGCTTTAAAGCCTACATACTAGAAGGAAGAAGAAGAAGAAGAGGCTTGGTTATACCTTGTGCATTTTTAATTCTGGTAATCTACGGTGATTCAACTACTAATTTTACTCTGTGTCCCATATCCCACCTCTATACAGTTCGTATTATCCAGTACATTTAGGTGGAGGAGGTTAAAAACGTCAGAATGACAATATATCAAAACGAAAAATGTTCGATAACTAGACGTTTCACGCAGGTAGCTCAAACGTTGTCAAACTAAACTAAATGTCACTTGTAGTACCGATACAAAACTTTTGATGTCGCTTTACTCTGCAGTTTAGGTTTAGAACAAAACTAAAAATAATAATTTAGAGACCGACCGATTAATCGGCTTCGGCATCGGCTTCGGCCACCTTCGGCCAATATTTAAACCTTCGGCCAAAATTCGGCTTCGGCCAAAACAAAGCCGAAGGTTTTGCCGAAGGTGACTATAGAAATGAAATAATCTCTGAACAATACGCTTCGGCGAGTCTTTGATAATTTGAATAATATTTACACAACTAAAACGTTTTACAAACTTTCAGGTCAGGTAGTACAACTTTCAGGTAATAGTAGGTAGGATATAAATTTTAACAATAGGCTAAGATGTCTTAAAGATCTTCATTTGAATATTTCTCACGTAGTAAAATTATGATAATAATTTTATTTTATTTGTTAAAACTCAGGAGTACTGGTGTTTTGAATAGATACCTAAATGGCAAAACATCGACCATCGACTATGAATGCAAATATTAAATATTTTACAACAGTTTAAGTTTATTCTCTCGTGGGTGCAGCATTGCTAATAGTACTTATTTACTCGTGAAATATATATACTATAATTTACGTTGCAAAATCAGTTCAGGTTTTTGTTCTAGAGTTGTAAAAATAACTTTTGGTAAGTCTGTAATTTTTATTTTAATATAATTTTAGTAAATTCAAACGTTTTTAGATAATGTCAATAAAAAATCCAATTTGGGATTATTTTGAAAAAAGTGGCAACAAAGCTGCATGCAAACTATGTTCAAAGTCATTATCGCTTGGCAGTTCAATACCTAAAAAACAAACTATTACAAACATTAAAAATCATCTACAAAAAATCCATACAGAAGAATGGAAATCATTTTGTGACATTGAAATGGGAATAAAAGTTCGAAAATTGGAACATATGAAAACTCCACATGATGTTACACAACCAGTTTCCAGGACATTTCAGCCCAACCTACATCAAATAATGGAACTTAAGTCACCTGTTCTATGGCCTGATGATCATCCGATATCATCTAGGATTGATAAGGGTATCATGGACCTTATTATTGTCGACATGTTACCATACTCTATCGTTGAAGGAGAAGCTTTTCAGCGTTTAAATTTTGGAGATCCTAATGTTACTTCCAAATACAGAAAAAAAACGGAAAAGTTTTTTAGAACTAGTTTAATGCCAGCTACCTATGACAGAGTTTGGAAAAAAGTATCAAATTTAGTTTCTAAAGCCGAATGGATAAGCTTTACGTCAGATATTTGGAGCAATCCTGCTAAAACCTGTTCTCTTTTGAGTTTTACAGCTCACTTTGTTCATGGTTCAAAACGTCTTAAAGTTATATTAGGCGCTAGTGTGCTTAATGATGACCACACTAGTATGTTTATTGCAAGTAAACTTAATGAAATAATTAAAAATTTTAAAATAGAAAACAAAATTCATATAGCTGTAACTGATAATGCAGCAAATATGGTCGCGGCTATTCGTATTACACAATTTACATCTCTAAGATGTGTGGTTCACTCATTACAACTTGTAATTCATGATTCTTTATTAAAACAGGAATTAATTGAAAACACAATTAAAAAATGTCGTAAAATTGTGGGACATTTTAAAAGGAGTGAACAAACATGCAGGTACCTGAGGCAGTTTCAACAAACTTGCAATTTGCCACAGCATATGTGTAATAATCTTCTACAGATTTAAGAGAAGTGGAGAGGGATTAAGGACTTCTATGTATAGGGTCCTGTAAAGACTGTCACCAAATGTAAAATACAATAGATCCTCAAGGGATGCTAACCCTGCGAGCGGCTGCAAGGAATACTGGTCACACTGGTCTGGAGGGCTGGCTCGTCTTCGTGGATTTACGAGAAGATAAGGGATTTCGGGATAGGGGTAAGAACTCCTCGGTCTCAGGTCCTGTAAAGAGTAGAGGTTATGGGCTTACTTTTGAAGCCGGAGATATGTATACGCAGAATTCTCGTGTTCTCCTAGTCTCTAGTGAGTCGGACGAAGGAACATTAAAAAAAAGCCATATTAGAGTCAACAATATATTGAATCTACCCTGAAGTTCCTAATACAATCGTTAACACGTTATTCTGCGCGTCGGGAGACGATGTAGCAAGATAGTGAAAAGTTGACAGAGGTACAAATATAATTACACAGGTTAGTATAAGAAATCTGTTACCTTATGTGTATATTAGGGCTTCAACCACGACACGTTCAGTCTTCTGGAACTCGGTCAGTTGAGGGTTGCGAACTTTCGAGCTGCCACAATAACCGGACTACACGCGAATTCTGACAGAAGATACCCGGCCCCCGGAAAATCACCGACTGTCTCGCGTACTGGACGCTATCGCGTCCGGCGATCACTACCCTGGGTGGGCAGTTACGGCGCCCCCGTTATCACTACTGATTGACTGACTACTGACTACCGACTACCCGGCGTCCGTCGTTTCTTCTTGTTTTATTGTGGTCGTACTTTCAACGCCGGTTCTAGTACCAAGGTCGTAGGTTCGCTGAGTTGCAGTTTTGGTATTATTGCTGCCTATTTGGGTCACGGATGTTTCGTGCTTTTTATACGTTTAAACAATTATCAAACAATGCAATAACTAGGTCAATTGTTATACTTTGTATAATTTAAATGTATAAGTTAACTGTATTAATTATCCCTTATTTAATTTGGAATATATGATAATTATCTCGAATAATTATTATCTTTTCTATGCTACTTATTGTTCCATTATCCCTTTATTCCAACTTCTCACTCACTTGCTACGCTTACATTACATTACTCCCTACGCAAAAAAAGAAAAGGGCCGAGGGGCCTTTTCCTTTTCCAACAATAAATTTATCTAGTTACATATTATATTACTTATAATCTACTATATATATTTTTTATATAAGTCCCAATTTATATTTTATCATTTACTGTTTCTTATAGACTATTGTACCGTGGTCAGCGAATGTATCGTGCTGCCCCCGTATTGAACCTATGTGTATGACAAGTTGAGTTAATCTTGTATTAATCTTATTGAATCTTAACAAGTGAAAGACTTTCCTAACTTATTACAATTGTTTGTGATTACATGTGTCCATTACGACAAGCGTATTCTAACTGTTCTATACGATTGTACTCGCGTTTTGCGTTCACTTTATCGCGTATCCCTGAGGGAATTGTCCGCACTTCACTCGCGACGTCTTGGCTGTTTTAATGTCCGTTTGCCAATTCCACGTGTCGAGTTAACTATATTGATGCGTTCCTGCTGCTGTCTGCCTCCATTGGTTTGTCCTTGCTGGGTGGTCGTCTCAGGTTGATACTGCTTTGCTTTGTCGCATTATACTTCTGCTAAATTGGTATCTGGTATGTGTTTGCTGCATGTGTACCCTGGCCTGTTCTGCATGAGTTGACTGACGGCATTAGGTAAGGATGGGGCCATTAGTAATCTGTTTTTTTTTTTTTTT